CGTTCCCATGGCTGCGTGTACCACGCACGCTGCTCAGGACAGACATCCCTTCTTTGTGTCTCAGAAAAGACTGACTTCTCCATAGTGGTCATCCCAGTTCAAGTAAAGGGTGACTGTTGACCCTTGAAGGAGGATGACGGTTCTTACATAAGGTCAGTTCCTGCCCCTCCATGGGACCAAGAGGCCAGTCCATCCCATTAAGGGGCTGTTCCAGAATATGTACTAACAGATGGCTCCAGTTCCCCAGCCAGGTCCTGAGACATTCAGATCTCACTTTTTTTTCGTTGGCTTCCGGAGTCTCAGCTGTCACATGCATCGTGGTTGGAGGGTCACGCAGGGCTCCTAGCCTAACACACAATCTAAAAGCCCTGTGGAGGCCAAATTTCTCCACCTCAAAGTTTCAGGCAGCTCTTTGGTCCACCTCCCCAGGGTCTCTGCCTGATAACCACCTGCGGCTTTATCCCTGGCTGTACGCTCTTGTGCATCCTTCTTGGATGCTGGGGTGGAGGGAGGCCTGGGGCATTCGTGAGTACCTGGGACAACTCTACAGATGGCACCGAGTCACGGTACCGCCAGGGCAGCTGTGGCTAAGCGGCCCCAGGACAGGGTACTCACTCCTCGTGTGAATCCAGTGGGCAGCTCCTCCTGAACGTTGTACCCTTGTTAGTTGTGCTGTAGCATCTGCTGCTTCACTCACCAGGAAGGGAGGGTGTTTGAGCAGTTACATGGAAAGCGGGTCAGTGTCCAAGGTGTGGAGGCAGTTCTAGATAATCCACTCAGGTCTGCACCCTAGGACCGTGTCTGTGACCATCCACTGCTTCTCATGCCGTTGACTGAGACCTGTAGCTGTCCCACAGGACACACCCCTGTGGAGAGGGAGGAGGTGGGACACGGAGGATGTGCCCTCTTGGAGAGGGAGGAGGAGGTGGGACACGGAGGATGTGCCCCCTCAGAGAGGGAGGAGGAGGTGGGAGATGGAGGATGTGCCCCCTCAGAGAGGGAGGAGGTGGGACCCAGAGGATGTGCCCCCTTGGAGAGGGAGGAGGTGGGACCCGGAGGATGTGCCCCCTCTGAGAGGGAGGAGGTGAGATACAGAGGACGTGCCCCCTCAGAGAGGGAGGAG